CGAAATCTCGCCACGAGCCGTAGGCCGTAGCTATTCCATCGTTCTCCTCACGGGTAGAATTGCATGCGGGACGTGAGGCAACAGCGTAAGAAAAACGATACTGTCCGGCAACACTGTCTTCGCGTAGGAAATACACAAATCCAGCTTGATGGTAACGGGGAACAAAATTTATTTGTGGGTACTGCCGCTAGATGTCGCATTATCAAGCCGTCCGAAATATCAATTTTGTCTTTTCGCTGGCGTCCGGTTGTTTATATCGGCGCTTCGATCGATTCGGAGTTGGCCCCAAAGGAGTCTCCCCCCTTAACCTGGCTTGGGCCACTCGGCCGTCGCGTCGTAAACGCGTGACGCAGGCAGACTTTTGCCGAGAACACCCGAAGCAGAGCGCACACGACAGAGGTAGAAAACACTTGCGTTGGTGAGTCGACGAGTAGGACGTAGTGGGGGCAGAGCTCACGGACAGGCTAGAATATGCTTGTGTAGAATACCCACGGGAGGCATGGAGAGGGTAAGCGCTCGCGCGAAAATCCCACGATTCTGGCATCACTGTCCCACGATAGGTACGTTGCGTGTGCGAATGTTTTAGCCAGTTTTAGCGTTGGATCCTGCGGAGATAGTGATAGTATTCGGTTGATTTTAGGTCGTAACCAAGAAGTAATTCATTTGACTCCTATTGTCAAAGATTACATGGTTTCAATATCTCTTCATATTAGCGAAAACTCGTTCTGTAGCTTGTTCGTTCGCCTGCCTTTCCGTCACACTCAAAACACTTTCTCACCTCGGCGGCTTCGACGCTTAGGCGAGAGATTCGCGCAATCTAAACAAACACGTCCGTTCTGTGCGGCAGTCGTTCAACAACGCTCTGTCCAGCTGTATCTTTATTTTTCGAGTGACAGTTAAATAGTGTTGTTCATCAGAGCATTACAAATTTGTACTTCTTTCTTTGGTGTGAACTATGCTTTATTGAAAATGAATAAAGGTAAATATATTTTGAAGAAGGGGACTACTACTTTGACTGCTAGACCATTCACTTATGTTCTTAATTCAAAATTTAACAACCATCTATGCGATCATTGTTTAAGACGGTAAAGTTTATTTAATGCCTATAGATACAAAACGTTTCTCAAATAACATTTGCATTTATTTTTTTATGTATATTTTATATTAACTCGATAGTTATTAAATCCATATTGATTATACGAATAATATATCTTGGGATATACATTTTGTATTGTATTTTATTTCAGTGGAAAAGTTTCAAAATGTTCCGCCTGCCAGTGTGTTTATTACTGTAATCATTCCTGTCAACGAGGTGCATGGCCTATACATACGACTGAATGTCCAAAATTAAAAAAGTTTTTATCAAAAACTGTACCAGATTTAGCACAATTTATGACTCGTGTAATTATAAAACTAAATCAAGGTGGAGGGGAAAAAAAGGGATACTACAGTGAAACAAATTATAGAAAATTTAAGGATTTAATGTCACGTAAGTATCTTATAACAATTTGGAAGATGAATAGTATTTGTTTTATTTGATTCTATTGATGCTGACTTCATTATTTCATCAAATTGCTCTGTCATAATGAAAAATACGAAAAGGATGTTTATTTTTATGTGTCAATGTGGGATTTTAAATGTATTATTCGAAGGTGAACCTATGCCAAGTCATCAGGAATTAATACCTATTTGTGGCAGAATTTGTATTCTGTTTATATATTAGATGTGGACATGAATAGTATTGGTATTGGTATTTATTTAGGTTCTTCAATTATTGATCATAGTTGTATGCCAAATGCTGTAGCCATTTTTGAAGGACCTACTCTAACTATTAGAACAATAGTAGATCTTCCTCTTTTAGATTGGTCTCAGGCAAGTCTTCTTTCTGCTAAGTTATAATATAATTCTATGCTGGTAATTGAATTTATATTAGATCGCAGTATTTTAAATGAAACTATTTATGTGTAGCTAAGAATATCATACATTGATTTACTTAAAGCGACAAAAGACAGACACAAGAAATTACAAAAATCATATTACTTCTGGTGCAATTGTAAAAGGTGTGAACAGCCAGAATTAATGGCTGAAGCTGCAGTGTGCCTAAATAAGTCTTATACACATCCTTGCTCTGCTGACACAGATACATGTGTAAAATTTGGGACACATTTTCCAAAAAAATTCAAAGATACTTTTGATGAGATAACTCACTTCACTGCACATCTTTTACAAAGCATGGAAGAAATGGCTTTCATCCTTTTTTAGAGTAATAATAAATAGTCAATCAATAAAATCCAATTGCAGAATGTACTTTTCTTATGAGCGGGATCAGATCCTTCAAGTACTATGATGTATGGTAGTAGTATATTGCATGCAAGTAATTTGTTGTATGTAAGTAAGAAATGCCTCAAAAAACAAGAGGGTATCTTGCACCCACTTAATATACAACATCTGCAAACTTTACTAAAAGCTCTTAAATCTGCCACACATTTAGAACTGTGGGAGGAAGCAGACTCTTATACAAAATGACTTACTAATGGCTATGTGTAAGATTTTTTACATTGAACAACTTGTAGACTAAGAATACGATAATATCACATTTTAATGTTTCAGAATATATTATGGTCAAGTACATCCATTAACTGGAATGTTGTACTTCTTCACAGGAACAATTCAATCACACTTAAAAAAACCAAAACAAGCTCTAGAAACTTTAAAAAGAGCTGAGTCTATTTTAGCAATAACAAATGGAGAAAAACATACTTTGTTTAGAGAACTATTTCAAACTTTCACCAAGTAATTAAGGCGCTGGAAGTATGGAAATATGTGCGTCGATAATTAGTGATTGTGATAATATATAATTTCATTATTTCAATATATATACGTAACATTAAATTTTTGTATGGAAAACTATATTTTTTTATTTATTTAGAGTTTATTAACTTTTTAAATTACCGCTATTATTACTATCAATCACTTTGAATACAGAACTTCCTGCAATATGGTAAAGCAAATAAAATTTTCACGTATTTACTTAATCCTTTATTCCTAATTCTTTAAAAATTTTAATTTAAAAGCTTCTTAAAGACCAAGCTGCACTAGAAACAGTGGAAAAATTAATTTTTATATTAATATTAAAATAATATAAGTATAAACATATAGGGTGTTAATAAAAATGTGGGACACTTTGGCAAGGTGGATTCTACCTGTAAAACTAAGACGAAAATGAAGAATATCGAAAATACATTCGAGGCTTCATTTCCGAGTTATTAATTGTTGAAAATTTGAGAAAAGTACGCGTAAAATACGTCTGACCCGACGGGTTACTCTATCTCTATTTACCTCAGAGGCGCGTTCTTCAGTTGTTTCACAAGTTGGTTTCATTCATTAATTTTTACTAAATAGGTCTTCAATCGAACCCGTGTATCAGCTGGGAATCTACTGTTGCAAGTAGTATAACCCATCGCGTCAGACGTATTTCACACTGTATTTCGCCCGTATTTTCAATAATTAATAACTCGGAAACGAAGCGTGGAACGGCATTTCGTTATTCTAGATTTTCGTCTTAGTTTGGCGTGCAAAATGCACTCTGCGAAAGTGTCACACACGTTTATTAACACACTGTATTTTATGATTTATGATAGTTGAACGAGTGAAACATGCAGACCTATCATGAATATGCTTTAAAGGTATGGTGGTGTATCGGATTTCGAGAATGATATAATAAATTGATCGAACCTTAATTCTGTGGTGGCACCCGCATTCTCGTACCACGGTAAATTTGGATCCGGTGTTGATCCCGGCTGAAGTGCATGGTTCCCGACCTTTGAAGGTTCACCGACGCTACCTGGGCTTCGTTCCAGCCAGACCGCGTTGATGACCGTCCCCGTGGATGCGTTTAGCGCTATCACCCTCGTCTCTACAGCGTCTTTCACCGATACTAGCAGAGATTTTGCAATAGCATCTAAAAGCACTGCGTAACATTCAGACATGTTAATATAAAATAATGAACTCAATGCAATAAGGTTAATAATAATGCAATGTGTTCCTCACTAGTATGATTATCTTCCACTTTTTCGTTCCTACAGACACGTGGGTACGTATTACAAATTACGCAGTCAAATTTTAGTATCATATATTTTATGAGTAAAACGCGTTTAGAGGAGGTAGTTTCGATGACTTTGACCTCGACGTTACCGATAAAGCATCAATTCTATGCATTATTAACACAAATGAAGTGTTATATGTATATTCCATTTATATTGCGTGCGATAAATATGACAGTCATGAAACATGAAACGGAAAAGTATATATCTTTTCACTTAACTACAAGGCAATTTATTCTAAATGCACCGTTAAGGGGGGAGACTCCGTGGCCCGTGCGCTGGCCGTGCAATCACACAATCAACGGGAACCGTGTATGTATATGCGATGTGCAAGAGAGACGTTCGATTTCGTAGGAACCAACTTGAGCCTCGACAATTGCACAAATACACTTTTCACTGGTATAGAACTCACGGGTAGACTTCCCTACAGGGTGGTCTGGTCCGTATAAACGCCAATAAACACATTCTAATTGAAAGAATTAGAATTTTAGAAAGTGTGCGATTGTGACAGACGCCGATGAAAACACACAAGATGGCTGCACAAGTCACATTTTGTCAAATATCTCACGATTTAATGGTTTCCTCGTCAAAAGCAGAGCAGACCACCCTGTACACTACTACCACACTATCGTGGAAATTCGATTTGAGTCACTTTATCACTTCTGGAAGGCACAAGTTGGTTCCTACGATTTGATGCGTCCAGACGCAGAAATAAACAGTGGTATAGTTCAAGGATTCTCCGCTAGAGGCGTTTATGGTATTTGTCAGTCACTTTAGCCTGCGTTACCACGAGCATCGATAAA